TCAACAGAGAAATTATGAGCAATTTTGGGAGCAGTCTTATTTATACCTTCCAACACAGAGGTGGAATTATAAGGGAATTTAAGAGTTCATCTTCAACAGGTAGTCTTTGCTGAAAATTCAAGTTGAGGTTTTTTTTTGCAAATCTTCAGAAGGAATATTTGGGCATTTTAATAAGATGGTAAAATGCACATGCCTGATTGATATTGCTGCCGAGTTTGCAGTTGTAGCCTAAAATTATGGATGTAATATTCTCAAGGCCAAGGAAGATACTCCTCCATCTACTTCTGTTTCCTGTTTCCCAGTCTTGCTTAGAGAAACATAACTTGTTTCCTGCTTTTTTATTTTTCTTTCCTTTTTTAAAAAAAAAATTAAATTGGACATGTAAACATAAGGAAGGTAGGAAGGTTTCAGGTTAAGCATCTGAAATTTACTAGAGCTGGGCAGGCGAAAGTGTAAGTCCATTTAAGGGAAGTTTCTGGGCCATCCTCTTTGTGGGCCCTCTAGAAAATGCCACATCTATTAGCTGTCAGTGCTTTAATGAACTTTTCTTTGTGGAGTAGAATGAAGACAAGAAAAAAAGATATATTGCCCTCAGTTCTAGGACATTGGCATGTGGAAGGTGAGACTTCAAGTAACCTACACTAGATGTTTGCTGCTTAAGTGACCTTCCTATACACATCACAACCTTGTGTAATGGCTGAAGTTAAGAATTTAGTACTCTTGCAGATACCTTTGGATCAGAACATCTTAAGACTTAAAATTAGAGACTTTGAAATGATCATTATTTAAGCAGTAATCCTGTCTTGCAATACAAAAGTTCTTATCCTAATTATGGTAAATCACATGAGACATGTAATCAGAGATGATTTCCGTAACTTGGAAAGACCCTTACGCTCTTTTTTACATTTTTTCAGGCCACTTCCTGAAATCAGTTTCTTAATATAAAAATAGCTGAGATGCTGAATGCTAGAATAGCTCTTAGGAAGTCCAGTATGCAGATAGTATAGATTTCTACTGCTTATCTGCAAAGCTGATAATGGGTGGGTGCCTTGTAGTGAAACTTCCTACCCCTTAGAAATCGGTCATTTATGTAGAGCATAGACTTAACGGCAATATGTTAAAGTATTGCTAAATTTCTCCAAAATATGCTTCCTCTGCTGATCATGACATCAAGTCATACCAGTCTCTTTCGCTGACACTAATTCATTTTATGTGATCTAGAGTTAAGTGATCTTTTCTGCAGATAAACAGTGTAGGTTTTTTAAGTTCTACTAGTTCATTTTTTAAGTTCAATTTATACATTGCTATACAGTGTGTGGTGTGTTGTTTTTGTCTTTTTAAGATTCTGTATAAAGGTAGCAGGCTTTACAAGTTTGTGGTCAGTTTGGTTGTATTTTCTGCTTTTATCTTTCTAAATATTATTTCCATTACCTTTAATACGAGTAGTAGTTAAAAAGAGAATAACAAAACATCTGGAGATCATGATGCTGCATGGTTTAAGCATCATGCTTCCAGAAAAAGGAGATCATATCCTTACTGCAGTGCTAAAATTTTCTAATCAGTAGAAATGGAGGATACATGAAAAACCAATTAACATATTTTATGTGACTATCAAAACACTTCTTGATGCTAAGATCTCTCAGAAGAGGTTCCTACCCACTGGGTCAAAGGTAAAATGGATCACAGACTGTTTGGATGCTGAAATGGATCAACGTGGATCATAAACTGTTTGGATGCTGAAATTACTCTGTTCTCATCTCATAACTTATGAAAAATATATGAAAGGAAAAGCACATTCAGAACAAAAATAAGTAATTCTTAATAGAGTAAGTTGCTCATCCTTGGGACTCATTGCCACAGGAAATTACCAGCGCTGGTAGGTTTAGAAAGAGTGCTAAATGCATCCCTCAGTAGGTTGTAGACAAAGAGGAGTTTGGTATTGTGGTGTAAGATGTCAGTGCAAAATAGTGACTTTCCTTCCAAAACCACTAAACTGTATTTGTGTCACTGCCACTTAAATTTAAGAGTCTTACAAAATAAAAAATTTAAAAGGATCATGCTAGTGAAGGTTTTTGCATCAAATTTTTCTTTTTTATAATTTGAAAGCTGTTTTAATTCCTTGTTACTTCTAGGCAAAACGGGTAAAAAATCTAATTTTCTTCTCATTCAATCTAACAGGATTTTTGGGGTGGGGGTGGAGGAAAGTAGCAAGGAGGAAGAATTTACAGCCAGAGGGAAAATTCCTTCTAACATGTGACTCAACTAGAAGAACAAAGGAATCATAGTTGCAAGTAATCTAGTATTTAGCCTAATTAAAATCTTTAGGTTTTGTATTTTCCTCTTGCCTCAGTAATATCATCTTCACGTAGACTTATGCAATATATAGGTAGTGTGAAATGCAGTTGCATGATTTTGCGCAGTGCTGCATGCTGAGACAACTGCATCAATGTTTCAGTCTAGCAATAAATGTTTTCTGCCTTCAAGCTGAAGCTTATTTAGCTTGGCTTATCTGGTGCTGCTGTAGCAACCATCAGTCTCCAGGCAACTGAGGCACATTGACCTCTTCGTTGAACTGAGTGTAGCACTACTTCAATTTAGCTGCCTGAGACAATAGTAATGGTATTGAATGTGAAAAATGTGAAATTTTCTAGTCTGTATGCAATGGATAGAATAAATAAAAAAATATTTAGATGAAAACAAATGTTTAGGTTTGACTTGAAAAAGATTTCAATTTTACATGGTGTATGCTTTGTTACAAGCTGCAAAGTTCATTACTGAGGCACTGCCCTTATAGGCCATGTATAAAATGTTGAGAAACTTGCACGCATTTTTACCCAGCAGTAATTCTGTTACTGTAGGTGTTTGTTTCATCACTTAAATAGCAAAGACTATTGAGGTTTATTTAGAAAGTTAAATTGTCAATTTTGTGAGTAAGTGGCTGATTCCTTATTATTAATATTTTCAAAATTATAGATTATCTTGGAAGTAGTTACTTTTCTCTCAGATCCGTTATTTGCCATACTGCAAGTGTCTGGCTTTGGAATACTCACGTGAAGAAAATAGATTACTATATGAGTATACTGGGTTTGTTTCCTAATCAAGTAATTCTTTCTGCTAGTCAGTATGAGAGTGAAATTGTGATTCCTGATATATAGGTTAATGTTCTTAAGGAAAACAGATTCTTGGTTAAGATACTGCTTTGATTGTCTATGTGGAGCACATATAGGTTAAGTGCTATGAAGACAGAGGTAGATGGAAAGGATGGAGGAACAAACTTGAGATAAAAGGGATTTGTGTTGAAATGATAGGTCTGTTTTCAGTTAGGTTTGTGGGGAGGTGGAGGAATCCCAGGGTCTTATCTCTGTAAAGACTCCTTTAAAAAAAAAACCCCAACTAACTCAAACAAAAACCAGTAGCAAACAAACTAAAAAGACCTCTTAATGAGGTAGCATTCTAGTTTTTGTAAAAGTCTCTTCTTTGTGTCTAGTTTATAACTAAATAGATTTTAATTGGTTAAAATTTTATAGAATATCCGGCTTAGTTAACGTGGAAGAGATGAGTGAACTGGTAGTACAGTTGAGGTTATAGCTTTTTCACATTATTGGAAGATAGGCCTTCTACTCATGCGGTTTTTAATGACTTGATGTGCCCTTGTTGTATGCTGGGCAGAGGTATAAATTAGTTTCTGTAGGTGTGCCATTAATTTTTCATTTTGCCTTTCAAATCCCACTGTGTTTCCCAGTTGCATTCATTCATGCCCTTCTAGGAAAATATTTGAGTGCTGCTGTTTGAAGGTTAGATGGTTTCATTTAACTGAAGGATTTATTTGTACATTTAATCAAAACAATTGATTCTCAAAGACAGTATTTGATGATTTGCTTGCTCATAAGAGTCTTCATTACAGCTGGAAGTTCAAAGTATTTATTTTTACTAGTAACATAAAAAGTACTAATGATGTGAATAATGTATCCATAGGATGACTTTACATGTCACATATACAATTTTTCTGACAGATTTTAATTACAATAATTTGTAATTAAAGCTCTTTTGAATGGATAATTGCTTTTTTCTTCTAAGATATCACAAACCCTTTTTCTGTTTTCATTTTAACTTTTCCAGCCTCCTGATTAAGCTTTTTAGTTAGTTATTTTATTTCAGCCATTTAGTGAAAACGTTTGTTGTAAAATTGCACCTGGATTATGTATTTTTTAAAAAACCCAAACTTTAAGGACTTCAGAGTGCTTGGATGGTAATGGTGGCAGTATGGGATGAGTTGTCTTTTCAATCCCAGTCTTGCTTTTGCAAAATGAACTAAAAATAAAAGAACTACAGTGGATTTTTGGGGTTGATTCGCGTTGGTGTTGTAGGTATGATGGGTGAGGTGAGGTTAGCTGTAAAAAGTACACTTTCCGCTTTCAGTCGTCAGTAGTGCTGTAGGCTGTTTTGGTCAAAAAGTCAATACAGTTTTCTTGAAAATTCGTTATGTTCAACTTGTAACTATGAAAGCCAAAATAAAAATTAGAAAGGTGTAAATGAAAGCATTGGTTTAGTTAAAATATATAAATAGTGTTTATCATGCTGCATTTGAGTATTATTATGTGCTGTGCTAGTTGTTTTGAAAAGATGGTTTGCAAAAGAAACGTGGAAACAGTATTTTATTAAGGATTTTTTTTTTGTTATCCTCAATTACATCTATATTTCTTTGGTATATAGGAAAATAAACAGGAATTTGGAAATCTTTTCCATTGGGAACAAGGTCTAGCTAGATAAGATTTCTAAACAAATTCCGTATTTGTGGTGAAAATGTTCAAGAGCTGTGGTGCAGCAAGTGATGCATGAAAAGCTGTTGATGTGGGAGAACTTCCTCTTGGGCTTCCTAGAAATTTGAAGTATTGATGCAGTTAACTGCAGTCTGACCACCCAGTTGTACTTAGGTGTGTATTGCCATCAAAGATGAACAGCTAACAGAATTCAGAGAAGGCAAATGATGATGTGTAGCAATGGTTCCCTCACATCTCCTGAATGAAGTTAAAGATGGTACCAGAGGTACTGAAAGAATAAAAGGAAGCAATAGCTCCTTCTTCCCATAGCACTGAATGCTGAAGAAAAGCCAACTGTTATATCCTCCCGGCCTTGAAAATTCTAGGGATAAAATAACTTCTTCACTTGTCCAATTTAAGCTAGGAAACGTAAGGCCAGGTTGCCTTTGCTCCTGTCACTTGATAGGCAGCTTTTTTCACCTCTCCAGAAAAACAGTGTGTTTATATATGTATATTATCAATTTTTGATTATCATTATGTATATAGTTTTAATATCTTTTAATATCTAAGCTCATTTAATTACCATGCAGGTTCTAATTTTGATGTTATTTTCAATAGTGCATAGTTCAGATAAATGTTGCTTGCCATTGACCAAAATATATCAGTTTAAGATGACTTCTGGATGAATGAAGCTGATGTTAATATTTGGTCTAGTGCTTGAATTTCCTTCCATGTTTCATGAAGCTAGACAATTGCATGGAGAGTATTAGTAGCATCTTCTCACAAGTGTAGCAGAACAGCTTGCAGAAAATTTAGCTTTAAACTTAATCTATATAATTTATTTTAATACTATTTTTGGTATTAGCTGTCCATAAGAAGTAGTTGTTGGTGACATTCTCTTGATTTCTTTACTTTGTGTTAATAGGAACAAGGGGTAGTTTTGTGTTTTCTGGTATGATTGGTAAATTGTATGACCCCAACCACATTAATCTGGCACTCCAAGGGTTATAGACAGTGCAGGAGCAATTATATATTTTTATTTTAAACAATAAATAAAAATATCCTTTGAAATTATTGTTGACAAATAGATACTGGATGAAGTAGGTAATCAGGTGATCTCTCATTAATTGTAAAGCTTCGTCACAATATAACGAAAAGCCACAATATAGCAATGGCTATTTTTAAAGTGGAGGGGAAAAGGGATGTTGATTGGATAGAAACTGATTAAGAAGCTGTCTTGGAATTGGTTGTTCCGGCCATCCTTGTTGTCCTGTCATGAAAGGAGGAGAGTTCAGTAATGGTTTAACTACAATTAAATCCCACCCCTTTCTTTATGGAAACTCAACTGTAGGCATTTCAGCATTAGCCTAAACAATGGTTTTGAATATGTTAAGCCCCTAACAATTAGGGAGCAGTTTGGGGCATTGAATAATGTGGAATGATGCAATTGAACCTGACAGCTTCAACAGTCTGCCTACTCATGGGACCCGAAAGTTGTTCACACTTGGTTTCATCTCTCATCACACGCTGAGTATTAAAACCTTACTGGTGTGGAGCTGAGACAGAAATGAGGCCTGTTATCAGAAAATATTTCATAGCATAAAACTTGAAAGGAACAGGGGAATAGGCACACTCAAATGTTCTCAAATATTTGAGACCTAATCTAATTGTGTACAGCTAAGTATTGTCTCATTTTTCCCCCCTGTGGTTTTTTTGATTAAAGAACATATAACCTTTGAAATGAAAAAACTGTTTTCCCTGGAAATCTAAGTAAATGTCCAGTTATGAATGCGAATAGTAGTCAACTTGGGAAACTTCAGTAAAACAGTGTTTTGGAGTGATGCAAACAAATACAAAACTATTTTAAATATTCAGAGGATATTTATATGTACAAGTTAAATTAAGTTAACTTGCAAGTCTAGTTCTTTCATTAGAAGAAAATACTTGCACTTTCTTTCTTGCTGTAGAGGAAGTGTTTTTAAGCATCAATCAAATATCAGTCATTTATTCTTATTGCACTCGGGCATTCAGTGAATTACAGTGTATCTTCCTTCTGTGCTGCTCTGCTGCTTATTGCTTTACTGATTTATTGAACGTGCCATAAATGAAAGCAGCGTGTTATATACCTCTAGATGGGCTTAAATCCATCTGCTAATATCTATTCAGGAAAATTTGCTGCCTTTTTGGAATAAATACTTAGCAGTCTCTTATTTTATTAGTTCATACATTTTGATCGTGTATTGTGTTGACTGTTTAAATAGAATCAGAATACTAAGGCTTTATAAGTTCTGCATTTTAGAACATGTTTCAGTCCTATGACCTTAATATGTATTGACAGGATGATTGTGCATTTTTAATAAATGCTTGCTACAGCTTGTTTGACTGAGTGAAACATGAAGCTCCTATTTCACCTTTAAATAATGTAGCACTCCTCCACCTCCTCTACTTTCCTGTCAGATGAAGTTGTCACATACATAATAAAGCTTCGCAAATCATTATTCTTGTCATTTTACATTGCCATTTAAAAAAAGTATTTTGTAAGTTTTTTATTTATCTCCAGCTTACTTGAACAATTTTATTGTGACTTTTCCCTTTTATCCTATTCCTCCCATAGGATACATGATGGCACTAGAACTTTTGTAGTTCCAACTTTTTGCAGGACACCTTTACTATTATTTTAAAGTATAAACAGGGGTTAATTTTAGGGTGAACCACCACTTGTGAAAAAACTAAAGTTCTTAGATATTGTTTAAATCACATTAAGTCTTTTGATCTGTTGTATCAACCCACTTAGCAAACATTGTTTAATTCCTTTGATGTCTTTTGTTTTGTGATGTGATGGTTACTCAGCAGACTGTAGCAACTCCTTTCAAGATACTTAGATAGTTTTAGAAAGTTCTTAAAGCTATTTGGGCATGTTTCAGTCAAATAAACATGTATTCTCTTTGCTGATTATAGCTGTCCTGCTATCATAAATTAATAGGTAGTTGCTATTGTACAGTTTTAAGGAGTCTTGCAGTGAATTACACAGAGTAAGTATAGCAGCTCCTGTGTAAAATGTGAGCCAGTACGCTTACTAGAATTAAGAGAAATCTTTTATAGAAACATTCTAAAACTAAACAGAAATATGACCTGGTATTTGTAGTTTTAAAAAAACCCAACAAACTGTATTAGTGGAATTCATAGCCCCAACCAATTTATTTAAATAATATATATATATATTTTTGTTTTGCTAGTCTTCTCTCTAAGATATGGAAGTAAATAAAGGTTGAAGCTTGTAATATTCGATTCTGTAAGGTTTCTTCAGTGAAAAGATTTGACAAAAAATTACATTGTTTTTGATGTTTGTTTTGTTTTTGAGAAGAAAACAGCCGAAAATTGCTGTTGAATTATAATAGCTGAATTGGAATCATGCTATAGGTGTTTATTAAGTAAAATAGCAGAAGCTGTGCGGTATTGCTGCCTTCATCAGTAAGTGTCATAGTACTCATATGTACTTTATTGCTGGAAGCTGTATATATTCCTGGGTAGCTGGAAATGGCTGCATTATTTTTAAGACTTACAACTGATTCAGATTAATTCTACTAAAGACATGCAATTCCGAAAAAAAAAAAAAAAAGAAACAGACAAATTTGAAGTAAAACTGTGATTCCGTGTCCAGCAATCTTGCACATAACTTTAAACTGAAAAGTGAAAAAAACCTGATCATTGTAAGTAATTACTTGTGGTTTTTTCTAGCTTTGGGACGGTACAAGAATGTAAGTATCAGGCACAATTTCTCACCAGTATATAGTAAATAAAGCATCATTGAAAACAGTTGTGTGAATTCATAAAAGTCCATTCATCAAGTTTAATATGTTGGCCGAAAGCCAAAACTTAATGGTAGTGTGTGATTCTTTCCAGAGACATAGTTTATACTCAGTAATATTTTGCTGTAATAACCAGTATGTTTCCCCGTCTCTTGTGTGCAGTTACACATGTCAAAATGTCCCACAAATTGAGTTCCTTACTGCTCACCTTCTTTTTTCATTTTTCAAAAAAAAAGTTGCTTTTGTAAAGGTTATGTTTTCTTAAAATATTAATTTAAAAACTAGTAATCACACATGTTGTGCATCTTTGATTTTTTTTTTCTTTCTCTTGCATCCCTCCCCTCCTCTCCCCCCCCAGTTTTTTTTTGTTTGTTTTTTGTTCTGAAATAATTTTTTTAGCAGGTAGGAAAATGCCTTTTTAATAAGCAGCCGTGCCTTTTTTTTTTCTTTGATTGCCTGTCTCTGCAACTCAGCTTTTGACACAAATCTTTTCTTCGAAAGGGAAAAGGCATAAGCAGCCAAGGAAGAAGGTATTTTTATTGCGTTGGATTATGCAAGATTTTGGCCAGCCTCCTTAGCTTCATCTGTTTAAGGGTTCATTTTCGCTTGTTTGGCACAAGTCCCAGCAGAGACCTTCAGAATTGTGGTTAGCAACATGAATGAACACAAACTTTGGGAGCTCTTCAATAAGTAGAGCTGGCCAGCTGCCAAAAATACAGTTCCTTATATGGGGTCGGGGCAAAGCTGTGATTCGGCGAGTCCCCTATTGTATAGAAAACATACTTGTAATGGCTGTTTGCGTTCTTTAAAATAAAAACAAAACAAAACAAAAAAACCCAGGCTTCCAAGTCTATCAAAATAGGAAGTAACAAAATAGTGTGCAGGTTTTACTAATGACGGAGTCGAGCAAAGGAAATATGGCTCTGTGTAGTTAAACTGTAGAGCTGAAAGTTGGACCTTTTGACCTCCACAGCCGGCTCGTGATGTAAGGAACCCAAGCATTTGTGAGACATCTGTTGTCTACCTGCCCTTATTTTGTAAATGGTTTAATAAGATTAAATAATTAGTAGGATAACCACATGGTCGCCATGCTACTAAGTCCTAGCACTGAATGCATACTTTAGGATTGCAAGGAATTCTGCCCATCCTGCTATGTGGTGGTTGTTTTGAAATGCAATTTAGGTATTTTTAATATTTGCTGCAGTAATTTTTCTATTAAAAAGTTGTTTGGGTTTTTTTTTTTAAATTAACAGATCTTGCCAACAACAAGTAAAACACACTTTAAAACCGGATATATTTTCAAAGTGCTTCAATTCTATTTCTGTACTGGCAAATGGAAAATAACATTTTTTCTTTTAAATACATTCAGTTTTTTAAAGACATTCAACTTAAAAAAATAGTTGTGCATTAGGAAGGCTTCTTTAAAATATATTTAACATTCATCCCCCTTTTTAAAAAACAAAATTCAAGTTTTACTTGTTTTCTTGCAGGCAAACACCCTACCTGGATCTTCTCTCAGTCTGCCTCCATCCCACATGTATGGCAATAGGCTGAATCCAAATTCAGCAATGGCAGCTCTCATAGCTCAGTCTGAAAACAGCCAAGCAGGTAAGCTTCCTGCTGCGGGTGGCAAATAAGCAACTTTACAGACTTACGTATTTCTAAAAAGATTGTTAAATTTCATTTTTGAACTCTGCTCGGTATTTGGTTATTAAATGTCTGTATAAAATTGCTTATGGAAGTTGGAAGTAAATTCTCAGTTGTCCTGCAGACCAGCGTGGGTTTTCTTCCTTTTTTTTTTTTGGTGTCTGAAATGTAAATGTTTAAGCAGAGCCATCAGCAGGCAGGAAAACTTCTGTGATTGATGTGTTCAGTTTGGAGCTCTTTGCAAGGAGAGTAACACAGCTCTGGGTTTTGTCGTGAATAGTTTAAATCTTTATTTGCATAATTCATGAAATTGCATTACACACAACTTTGTGTGAAAGAGATCCCGTTAGAGAACTTCTGCAGCATTTAATAATCTTGTGAATATTTACCGATTGGCATTTTGTACTCTGCAGTTTTAATGAGTGCTGGCTTTGCTTTGTTTCATTCCCTCCGTAAGGATTTGTTGACATGTCGTAGTAGTCATGCCTGTTTGGGGGAAGGGAAGGAGTTTAGCAGTTTACCAAGAATGGATCAGTCATGTCTTTGCCCTCCAAGAGGTCGGAGGTCGCTTGACTCAGAATAGGGGGAGGGCAACCTTGAAGGGGGCAGATAGGGTTATTTTATTGAGAGGCCATGGGGAAAATAACCCTTTTGAGTCCTTCCAAGCAAAACGTTTTCGTATATTTAATGAGGCCTTTTTTGTTTGTTTTACTACCTTTCTAGCAAGGGACTTTCCTATGCTTCTGCTTATAAATAGGAATTAGTGAATTACATGCTTTCATAAAGTTTTCAGTAAATTTGCAGAATAATGTGTGCTTGTTAGATGGCAGCAGTAAGTTTAATACGTTATATATTTTATGAGTTGTTTTGGGATGCAAAGTGTTAAAAAAATACAGAGCATCAGGATTTGCTGTGATAAGCATACAGATTAGCTGTCCACAGCTGTGATTCATTACTTTCACCGTAGAAATTAAAAGTGGCTGAGGGGAGGGTACTGCAAATGCAAACCACGCTTCTGTGCTGTAAAACTGAAAGGAATGAAAGAAGTGAACATAATCCATGGCCTGGTACAGCCTTAGAAATGTGTAAGGACAACACCTTACATGCTACAGTTCAGCAATCTTAAACTAGTTACGTATTCACTCTTCATCAGTAATTACAGATTGAAGTTCAGATTTAAGGTATTTTTAAAGTATCTACATCAGCTTTAAAACTCTTATCTACGAAGAGTCGATTTATCAGCTGTGAAATATTTACACTGCAGATCAAGATCTCGGAGATAATAGCCAAAGCCTTGTTGGCAGAGGAGGTTCACCCAGAGGAAGTCTCTCACCACGGTAAGCATTATTTACATTGGAGAGTGCAGGCTGAGGAAATGTTTTAAGATTTGGAAACTTCACAGTCTTTTTCTAGTAATATGTAAGTTTTTAAAAAACATATATCTATATATAAAAATGTATATACATACATTTATTTTTATATGGATATATCCATCTTAAAAAAAAAAAACCCTAATATGTCCAGATAGCTAAAAATGTGCTGAAATTTACTTGTATATCAACTGAAATTAGGTTTACAGTGAAGGGCTTAAGAAATGGAGACTTGATTTAGAGGGACTTATGTATCGTTTAATCCACATGTACTACTTACCTCATCAGATATGTTACCATAATCATATTTTTAGTTGTATTTGCAAAAACTCCAAAATCCCATAGATTTAAGACTGCAACAATCACAGGAATAAGATTGTGTGAGAAGTTAAATATCAATAAAAGCTTCAAACAAATATTTTCTTCCCTTTCCTTCACCGCTTCAAAACGTGTAACAATTCTCTGTGGGGGAAAAAAGTACTTCTGTTTTTCTGCTGCAATTCAACTCAGAAGTTTGACATAAGAATTCTGTCAGAATTGTATCGAAGTATTTTCTTTTGAAATTCATGCTGTTAAAATTTCCTTATCGTGTTTTAAATACTTCAGTAATATTTTATGAGTATTTTAAGCATGTCTTTGTTTTCAAAGGGCTTTATTTTCCATACTGGATCTCATAGGAATTAAATTTTATAGTGTTATTACTGTATTTTTTTACTTAGGCCATGGGAATTTTATCTTAAAGGATTTTAGAATAGCTAAAAACTGGTGGTTACACAGATATGGCATTATAACAATGAATTTGATTGTTACAACATGTGTTTATTACACTAACTTATAATAAATATCTCCAAATTAGATAATTTAATGTACATGCCTGGTGGTGTTGATCTTGTATTATATTCCTTAATTAATCAAAAAACTTGTTGAATGGGGTGAGAAAATCCATTATAATACTTAGATGGTATTACCTGGTCATGAACTGGCTTTTAAGCTTTCCAATATGAGTTTCTTCTAAAACAATAAATAGAGAATTTATAAATTAGTTTAGACTATGTTCTCAGTGTAAACACATACATTTGCATTAACATATAAATATATAAATAAGCAATGCATCTGTATAATATATACGACAAGTCAAGAGAATTTTACAAAGGAAAAAGCTCAACAATTAGGAAATTCCAGAACTTTTGATTATATATTAAGTAGTCTTCTTATGCATAAATGTTGTGGTAATTACAGATTTTAATGCTTTCTTAGCTAATATGCAAAGGCCTGGTCTTTGTACAGTTTGCAGCAGGCCATATAGTGTTTCATTCAGGCTGTCTTTAGGTAGAATATTTGGGAAGCTAAACTTTTTAGATGTGACGTGTCTGTGGAATGTATGTTCAGCGTATATATAGCCTAGTGCTTAAAACCTGGTGAAATTTCAGCTGTTTTTGACAGGGATGGCAAAGGAGAACTGTATGATACAAAGGCTGCTTCAGTCCAAAGTGGCAGTTTCCTTCGATACAGCGTATGGCAGCTCTGTCACGGCACAAAGAGCAGATAGCAGAACAACTTGACAGTAGAGTTGTTCAGAAACAAGCCAAAAGGAACGGGGCAGGGAGAAAGGGGAGAGGGGCTGGTGGGCTGGGAGGAATCACTGCTGCAGTTCCAAAATTGAAAGATGGAAAAAATTAATCTGAAATACCTAGCATGGAAAAAATTTAGAAAACTTACCCATTCAATTAAGTTTATTAGTCAGCAAATTTCACCACTGGTTTGTGCGATAAGAAAGATCACACATACGTTGATGTTTCTAAAATGTGTAGGTAACGCCCTACCTTCCCCAGTTAAATAAATAACTGATTACTTAAAAAATATGTTTTATAGTGAATAAAAATCTAACTTCAAAAATCTGCTATCTGAAAACTTTGCAACTCTGAATGATACCTGCTTTATCTATTAAAATTATTTTTCTGCAAGTTCTGACTCTCTTCCCTTTGAAGCTTATGAGATTCATAAATAACATACCTCTCCAAAAGAACCATGTAATTTTCAAATAGTTGCTTAAAACAAAAACACTTGCAGCAATAATCCTTTGCTGTTGATAACACAGTTGATTGCAGGTCTTTGGAGAAGATGTATGTGACTCATGAGCTGTATGGTCATTTCAAATTCATATTGTTATATCTTTGTACCCCTATATAACCATGATGTTTGATGTTTAGGCTGTCATGTTTAAAATTTTAATATACATGAGAAGTATAAATGCATCTGGTATATGTGAACTATTTCTGTTTTGCAAAGGAATTGTTGCTTTTCCCAAGGTAGCACTTAAACTTTTTTTCACCCCGTACTTAACCTTAGATTTAAAAAATATTTTATGTAATACCTCCATGGAAAGATGTATGTATGCCTATATCTAAATACAGTATTCCTTGCAATTAATACTATAAGAGTACGAATAACCGTACCCCAAACTTAAACAAAAAACAGTTGTGAAAGTAAGCAAGGTATGACACGTGAAATAAGGGATTCCCCTCTCAGCGAGAGCATTGGACCCGCACATACAGCACATTTATAATCCTATTGGAAACTATGAGCAAGTACTATTTGGAATAAGGACTCAGCCCTAGTCTGCAGAAACTGTATCATATGTAATGAATGAGGTGGGGGTTCAGCTGAAAGAGGGTGGATTGACTAATGTTTCGGTTTAGGAAAATCTAGATTTTTTTTCTTTTTTTGTCCTTCTGGAGGGTTGCGAAGGTTATACAGTCGTGTGTTGCTTTCTTTTGTGAAACTGATAGGAAACAGTCCTAAGCCCAGCAAGATTTTTCTTGGTGATTTATAATTCGAATGGTGCAATCTGTTAGAGTAGTATTACACACCCTTCAAAAGCATGCATACAGAGTTGCTGGGAGGGTTGTGTTTTCTGTATTTGTTTTCTGTTTGTTTTTTTTTCTGGTTTTGTTTGTTTGTTTTTTTTAAAGTGCAGTTGTGTGTGTAGAGTGTAGTCTGCTCAGAATGTTTCCACATAAACCTTCCTTCTTATCACTTCAGCACATCATGTAAACAACTAGTTTTAAGGCTGTTTTTGCCATGTCTGTGCTGAATTGTTAAATGCTGTTGGGTTGTCATCTCTTGTCAAAAAACACTACCTTGGTTACCCATTCATCAGGGCTTTTTGTTTTAACAAGTGTTTTCTTCTTTCATCCTGTATGCAAAAGAGGAATTTTTATAAATACTTATAGAGCTCTTAAGTCACCTATTTAAAACATTTTCTCATAAAAATCGCCTTGCTCTGGTGCGTACAAAACGCTTGACAGTCATTAGGTAGCTAATGTGCTGTGACCACTGCTTATTACGCTAATCATAATTAACACACTGATTTCCTGAGCCCTCTATGTTGTCCTGTACTGGGACTTTGGAGGTCTTGTTGCTAAGTTTGCACTTCATGTAGAACAGTACAGCTGTGATCCTGTGATGGCACCGATAGTTATTATTTACAGTAATAACTAGTAGAAAGAATCTGAATCTGAGCTCACTGGAGTTGATTAAAAACAAAAACAAAACACCAACCAGCTTTTAATGGGCCTTGGTGTTGGTCCTGTATGGGGAATGGGACTATGCATACATAAGACCAGAATCCTGAGTTAGAAATACACTGAGCATCTGTTTTTGCTCACAGGTTAAGTTTTGCCCCATCCAATGCTGAAGTCTACTCAAAAGGACCTGAAAAGTACTCAGCTTTCTTAGTGGCTGTGTGCTGAATATTTAATTTTCTCCTGAATAAGAAAAGCCGTGTGGTAAAGGGATTATTCTTTGAACTGTGTGTGATCAGGAGTGAAAATGGAAGTATATTAAGTGTGCACAGGACAGGCAGAGGGTAACTTTAACTTTCATTGTGTCCCTTGTAAAATAATATTTTAATATAGTCCCTCAAAAATCTGATTTTATGATTATTTTTTAGAACAAGTTAGGCAGAAGTATGTATGGCCTTCCTATGTGGAAATATCATTACTTTGCTGGTTTTAATAAATTGTTTTTATTTTCCCAGTTTTCTCTGGGAAAGGTCGGAAGATTTGGGTTTTTTTTGAAGACAGATACTCTATGTATCCATATACAATGGTTTCCTGCTGTAGAAGTATGTGTTGTATAATTTAGTACAATGCTGTTTGTCCATTGGGTATTGTGTTAGTCTGTATGCAAGAAGAGGTTATGTGCTTTCTCAGTATAAATTCTCATGCTATGAAATACTACATCTTTCTTTTATTAAAGCCTTGACAGTGAAAACCAGGAGTTCTTAGTGATTTTGATGAATTAACTTAGTATTGGAAGTGCAAGATATGTAGGTGCTAAGAGCTAATAGAAGGTAAGAAACTTCAACAGCCTTTTACTAATACATTTCCTTCCATCCTTTTTTTTTTTTTTAATAATATTGCAACAAATTGCAATATTTTCAACAGATCCCCTGTAAGCAGCTTGCAGATTCGCTATGATCAATCAGGAAACAGTTGTGGGGAGAATTTGCCCCCAGTAGCAGCCAGCATTGAACAGCTTCTGGAGAGGCAATGGAGTGAAGGACAACAGTTTTTATTAGAGCAAGGCACCCCTAGTGACAGTAAGTACTCACATTCTATTTATTACTGCTTTTGTTAACTTTGTTATTCAGAACTGCCATTCAGTGCTTGTCCAGGAATTTTAAAGCAACTTGTTTTTTGCTGGGAATAGAAATATAACTGTAGTGTATAATTGTGACATAGTTCTTAATGCAGCACATGGCTTCAGTAGATTACAAAGGAGTTCTCTATAATTATCTGCGTTTTTATGGATGGGGAAATTGTGTCATGCAAGAGGAAGTGACTTTCAGATCCAGCTGGTCGATTGCAGAGTTTGGAAATGAATTCTGGACTCCTAGATCCACTACTGTAAATAGTATAGCACAGTTCCACAGTTTCCTTTATACTGTGTGATATAAATTGGCATAATTATTATTATTTTAATTCTAAACTGTACAATTCTTGTTTTTTTAAAAAATATTTATAAATGTTAGGCAGGTTGTTCTACTGGACTTTCATATCTTTATTACGTTCTACGTTCCTCTTGAAATTCTCAGAGCAAGAAAATAATTATTTTCTCAAATTATATTTAATAGAGTGGAATAGTCTAAGAATCAGTATGTTAAAAGCATAAGTGATGAGTAGATCACTTGGATCTCCATATTCAACAATATATCAGTATCAAAGGCAATGATTGAATACATTTAAAAACCCCCTGTTTTTAATACCAGGTTAGGGTTTGTGTTGTATTGGATTGAACATATTATTCTTCTCGTTGGTAGTATAAAGTGGTATCTAGTTGGTATTTTTATGAATGGTATCCTGACAAAAATGCTAATTGTGAGGAAATTCATGCAGGGATAATCCTTTAAACATGATAGCTGGAGGACAGGTTTAGCTAAGTCTTATTGCATCTCATTTGGGCTCACTGAGGGTTCCTTTGTATGTTCTTGAAGAGGAGGGATAAAAGCTAAATCCTTGGGAAATGACCAGATGTGCCTGTACCAGTAGACTTATGTCTGTAGTAGGCCCAGAGGTCATGTTAAACAAATACAATTTAGAATTTAAAAAAAAAATGGCTATCCCTGTGGCTTTACAGTCACACTCTAGTTCTACTTGGGAAATCCAAGTTCTGAAACCAAATCGGAGTCTGAGAAAAACTGTGCTTCGTGAAAAATCAGGTTAGTACAGAACACTACGCCCTTTTTCTGCAAAAAAAGGGGTGGAAACTGCAGTGCTCACACAGTGCTCCCTGCTGGGTGATCTGTAGATCGCTGCTCAAAGCAAATGAGAGCTCCTGCTCCCTACAAGATGTGTCATGGTAACTTCACAGTGTGGATGACATTTCTTTCATTGCTTCTGTAAGTTTCTGATTCGATATACAGGTCATTAAAGCAGAAAAATTCCCTTTTCACAAACTTGCTTGTTTTTACATAAATGTTGGTTGGCTGTATTGTTAGTTGAATGCATAATTGCCAAACTTTTCTGGTTTGATAGCGTTTAAAATTTCTAATACTGCAGCTGAAATAAATTTTTCCCAATTATGCAATTAACCTGTGCTACTAAAATAATACTATTTTTATATTCTAGTTTGGGGATAAGTTATCATGTACTGCTGTTTGCTTAAAATGAATATCATCCCTAATGATGTGACTTTATCTGTATTTAAGGCAGAGTGTAGATATATTGCAAAATTACTATCACATGCTTTGAACTTTTTTCTGCACTTCCAATTACACAAAATTGATCTTAAATCTTTCCGCTTAAAGTCAAATTTCTGTAATGTGTCTCTCAGTAATAATTTTATTTATATTTTCACATGTGACTTAATGCCAGTCCTAAATTGTAATACATAAATTAAAAAAAAAATAGACGTTATTCATTCTCCGAATGTGATTGTGAAAGGTAACATACGCATTTTTACCTTAGTTTTAGGAATGCTTAAATCATTACACCAACTTCAGGTTGAAAATAGGCGGTTAGAAGAACAGATAAAGAATCTGACCGCTAAGAAGGAGCGGCTTCAGCTACTCAATGCACAGCTTTCGGTGCCCTTCCCAACAATAACTTCAAATCCTAGCCCTTCTCATCAAGTACATGCATTTCCAGTACAAGCAGGTAAGAGTATTTAAGTGTCAGAAGTATTTTGAATGTGATTTACGTGAAATATCTATTTCATCCACATATGCCATTGATAGGAGATGCATATACATGTAGGATGAATATAGATTAAGTATTTGTTGATGTGTTTAAAAGTCATTTGGAAGATTTATATGAACCATTACTACTTGTTTCAGTGCAGTTTCTTTTTTACTTCAGTCTGGAGCACATCTGTTTGAATATCTTGATTCACCGATTTTTTAGTTAATATTTTACTATTCAGCAATGATTTTAAGGTTGACTTTACATTTTCTATGTTTACCTTTGACATTATTTTGAAATAATTATTCTGAATCTTTTTACATGCTACAGAAATTTAATGACTGAATGTTTTTTGAAATAATTACTTTAGCACCTAGCACTGATTCCTTGAACAGCAGTAAAAGCCCTCATCTGGGAAACAGTTTTTTACCGGACAATTCTCTTCCTGTATTAAATCAGGTAATATTTATTTGTTTCTTCTAAACTTAAACTTGTTACAAGTTAACTCATCATAGTCCTTGCATTGTGCTGTTAGGTGAAACTTTATGCAGCTGAGGGGGTTTTGTTGTTTGTTTTTACACCAGGAGATAACCTCCAGCGGACAAAGCACCAGCAGTTCATCAGCTCTTTCCACTCCACCACCTGCTGGGCAGAGTCCAGCTCAGCAAGGCTCAGGAGTCACAGGAGTTCAACAGGTCAATGGTGTGACAGTGGGGGCACTAGCTAGTGGTATGCAGACTGTAACCTCCACCATTCCTGCAGTGCCTGGTGTGGGTGGAATAATTGGAGCTCTGCCAGCCAGCCAGCTGGCAATCAATGGAATTGTAGGGGCTTTAAATGGGGTAATTCAGACCCCAGCAACAATATCACAGAACCCTTCTCCTCTCACTCATGCAACTGTGCCACCCAATGCAACACATCCTCTGCCAACCACGTTGAATAACAGGTAAGAACTGCTGATTTTATGTTTTTCCTGATAGTGCCTGCTTTTCTTCAGTTTAACTATATTTTTTAACTGTGTTACTCAGAAGGTGCTGTTTCTTCCTTAGCCTGTAATTGCCGAACTGGGTTCTGCTCCTGATCTGTGAATGAAAGTAAAAAGGCATTTAATAGAAGCACAAATAGTCAAGTTAAAGAAAAGATGTTTTCTGTTTAGCTTTTGGGAATCCTAGTATCCATTCATTCCTGTTTTTTAATCAAGTCACATTCCCAAACAAATGTAATTATGTAAATGTGCTTCAGCTCTTTTTCTAGTTCAGAAAACAATATTCTTTGTCCTGCCAATTGTTCTTCCAGGATTAAAGGAGCACTGGAAAAGCTACCATTTGTTGCAGTAAGAAGGGAGGAGGGGCAGAAGGAGAACAGTATGCGGTCATGTAATTAAAGATGTAATAGGCATAACTAACCGGAGTAGTAATGCGGTTGCATGGTGTTTTCAGTTCGCTGCATCTGACTCACAGACAACAACATTAGTTTTTCAAGTGGTATTTGTAGGGATTTTTAAATGCATAAAAAGATCCATGCTTGAGTATTTGTAATAGCCCTTCCCCAAAACCCCGTATCCTCAGCAGCATAAACTGCTGCTGCTTGAGCTGCAAGGCAAATGGGTAACAAAAGGAGACAACTGCTTTCCAGGAAGGGCAGTGAACTGCTTGATCTGGAAGTATTTTTGGGATAGAGCAGAGCTTGGGCTAACTCGTTCTCCCTGCTCCCCTTCCCCCAACTCCTTGTATTGTCCTTCGTTCTGTGTAGAAAGAAATGCCTGCAAATAGGGAGTGGATTACTTGTCTTTAAGCAGAGTTTATTTTTGGAGATTATGTTGGATTATCCACCAAAAAAGGCATATGTGATTGGAACGGTGCAAGGGTTCCCTGGTTTTGTAGCTTTTTCCATTTTCTTTCCTCGCTGTTCGTTTGGCAGCTCCTGAATATTGGTGTACCATATCATTGTGTGGTATTGCTTCAATAGGCTCATAAACCCTGATATTTTCAAGTGTATCTTGTTGTTTTGATGTGCTATTGTATTTTTACTGAGGAGGTTTTATTTTTCAGAGTTTATGTATGAACATAATATTTCATAGGTTAAACAAAAGACATTTTGCTAATGAGAAGTTAAATTCTTTCTTGAGTATTAGAGGTCTGTTGAAAACATAAGAATTTTGTGTTACTCTCCCCAAAAGTGTGAGGAGGAGTGAGAAATACTAGACAAAATCAATGTTAGCCAGTTGTATAATGCTTTCCACTTTCAGGTAATGCCAAACTCCACCAGTCATACTGCTGTTTTCTTATAGGATTTTGCTAATATACAGATTATTTATTTCTGACTCTTTATATTGCAGAAGTTTGTCTCTTTTTTTTTTAATATTCATCTTAACTGCTGTAACTCTTGAGTGTGTAGCCTAGTAGTAGACTGCTCCAGTTCACGCAGAATACTGCAACTAGTAAACTGTTCATAAACTCTCATTCTACCTTTTAGCATAGTCTGGAATACTCCAGTGATTCCCTGTTTTTTGCTGCAACAGGCTGATAATGTGCAACTATGCCAGCATTTCTATTTCTCTATTTCTGTTCTTTCACGGTCTCTTTCTGCAGTGCTCCCTCAACAATACTAATTTAAAATTAATGTTGATATTAAATTTAAAATTGTGCTTTTTATACAATTCTTTGCTCTACTGAACTCATCCAGATGGTTTGCTGGGCCCCCTTCCTTTCGAGGTGTTTCACAATTGCCCCTATTTTCTGTGAGTTTTCAGTATTTCTAGTGGTATATTTAGAGGAAAAAAATTCAAGCTGAGAATGCACTAATGCTAATTAGTGCTAATATGATTTTAATAATGACATATACATTCCTCATTCCTGTTTCTTCCATTAAAAACACGTCAGTGAAAAATAGGAAAAAAAATTTCTGTTACTGGAAGTAAGTTGTGAAGAGGCTCTGGGATGACTTTGAATGAAGAAAAAAAAAAAAAAAGAAAAAAAATAGAATTATTTTCCACTGGATGAGATTATTGGTTCTGAAACCATATGGGACACTGTTTGTTCCTGTCACTCTTGAGTTCAATGCCATTTCAGCAGCAACTAGTTGACTATTTCTTTAATGTTAAATTCTTCTAGGTATCACTACTCTTTGAACTGCATAAGTGAGAAGGTTAAATCCTGACAAGCACAGGCAGGCATGGAGGTTTGCTGCCATGCTATTGCAAGCTCTCTGAACCTGGTTGGGTTGCATGGTGGTGATCAAATTCGGAGGTGGTTAAAATTGGTATTTGCAAGATGAGGGAAAGCCATGTGAGGACTCTGCCCTACTTTCTAATTTTTGTGTATTGTTCTGTAATTAAAAGACTTCCCAGATGTTCCTGTAAGTTCCTACTTAAAGTAACTTCCCAAGCTTCAGAATCTGTTCAGAAAATTTAATGTGAAAAATAGCTAGATTATTTGCCAATACACGAAGGCTTATTTATGCATATTGTCCTTATTCATGTGAACTCTTTAACTGTGGGACATAGGGAGGAGAGGAAACACTGATTTGCATACTGCTGTTTGAAAGAGTTTCAAATTGTAGGTAAAAGACCTACATTCAATCAACAGAGAAAAATACTCCGTCTTTTTCTGGGAAAAAGATGGCTTAATACAGATTGCTAGCAACCAGGAGATTTAAGTGGTCTGAGGAAAAAGATAGGATTGTTTCTTTACATTCTTGCAACCAGAGAAGACTGTAGGATGGAGAGTCTCAGACTGATCATATACCTTTTAATGAGAAGCTAAAAAGGATTATATTTACATTCCAAACTCTGGAAATGCTCTCAGGGAAAAAAAAAAAACTCAGGGAAAGCTCTGTGGTGAAATCCAGCAAATTGCCTCTTCTGGGAAGCTTGGGAGCTGCAGCATTTTGTCTTCTGCAGTTAGGTTTTGTTTCTAGACACTTAGATCTCAGCTACTGGCTGAGGGTATTTTCTTTCAAGTGCCAGTGCAGAGCAAGAGAGGAAGGCAGAGAACAACAGCAGAAAGAAGAAGTGCAAAAAACATGATATAGGAAAAAAGAATGGGATAAAAGAATGAAAAACAGTGGAGAAGATTCATTCCAGTATAGAGGAATAGAGAAAAAGTGAGGTAAAAAGAGAAGAAGGAAATCATTATAATATTAGTCTAACTAAAGGTACTTATTTTTTGCAGTTGTTACAAATATTTTTTGATACAACTGAATTTAAAGCTGTTTGAAGGAATTTCAGTTAATTGATGAGTGTTGTTTGGAAGTCAAACACATACACATTTCTAGCTTATGTTAGGCCTGAAGTTTGATGTTGTAGTTCAGGAGGAAAATTTAGGAATTTCCTTGGATAGGTGAAGTGTTATCTCTGCTTTCAACAACAGTCAAACAAACATTGGTTGCAGATATTGGGGAATAAATAGAATGGTGTTATCCATTTGTGGTGGTTTGACCCACAGTGGGACC